TTGGGCCCGCCGGGCCGCCGTCGTTTCCAGAAAGGGTTTGACTGGAGGAACCTCTGGAGCAGCTGTTGGCTGGCTCCTGTAACTGATGGCATGTTGAAGTACATGGGCCAGAAGCAACGAGGGCATCTGATCCAGAGGGGGCCACTCTAGAGGCCAGGCCACCACCACCATGGGCCAGTTTGTCACCAAGTGCAAGAATCCTTCATCAACCTTGGGCAGCAAGAATGGAGACTGGCACCCTAGCAGCGAGTCACACAGCAGGCGGGGAGCTGGCCACCGGGAGGAACAGGTGCCACCTTGACGCAAACCAGCTGGGGATATCCTTGTCAATGGGACCAAGAAAGCAGAGGCTACCACTGAGGCCTGCCAGCTGCCAACATCTTCTGGAGATGCTGGGAGGGAGTCCAAGACCAATGCTGAGGAGTCTTCCTTGCAGAGGTTGGAAGAACTGTTCAGGCGCTACAAGGACGAGCGGGAGGATGCAATCTTGGAGGAAGGCATGGAGCGCTTTTGCAATGACCTATGTGTTGATCCTACAGAATTTCGAGTGCTGCTCTTGGCCTGGAAGTTCCAGGCTGCTACCATGTGCAAATTCACCAGGTTAGTCACAGATGCTTTCGTGTCAGGTGAACAGAAGAGGAAAGAAAGTGACATTGGGTAGTGGTACCAGCTAGAACAGAACTGGGCTAGCTTCACGGGTTTGGGGCAAGTGGTCTCTCCCCCCTTTTCTGGCCATTTTCTCTACAGCTTAAGTCTGGCGTTGTTGTTTTGATCCAGATAACTCCCTAGATTCTTCTAAGGAATTAATTTTTTTACCATGTTCCTGGTACTGTAGCAGAATTGCGGAGTAGATTTCTCAGTAGGTAAGACTCAGAGATTTGTGTCTCCATAAAGCTTCTTTGTCTGATATGTGCTATCCTGTTTTCCTCACAGAATAAAGTGCTGTCTGATTGATAGGTCACAGTTGAATTTATCACAGCACTAAGAGGCAGTCTAACTGGGTACTGACCCTCTGCCTAAAGTTAAATAAGGACTAAGCAGTGTGAACCCTGTTGCTAAGTTGCTTTGGTTATTTTGGTTATTTCTTTTTTGGGGGGGTGGGAAATCCCCCCAAATATTTGAACCTGGCTACATGTTGTGTACCTTTTTTTTTTGAAGCCTTCAGATAGAATAAGCCTGCCATTTCTTGCACAAATTTATTAGATTTGTTTTGTTTTTGTGGGGGAGGGTGTAGGCCCAAGTGGGGAAATGGGACTGTTAGGTTGAATTAACATTACAAAATGATACAGGGCCAGATCTCAGTTTTGCATATTATTTTTCAGGGCAGGTCTGTACTGTGTGTAGTGCTGTTTACATGGCTAAATTTAGGTTGTAATGATTATTTTAAAAATTTACACAGATATGAATAGCAGTGTTAACTGTTAGCCATATTGCATTAATTTCCAGACAGTTTGGAGCTCTTGGAGAGCCAGGGCCAAGGCCAGTCAAGAGCATTTGCAGTCTGACACACCACCCCATCCCTTTAAGGTAATTTATCCAAAGCCCTTACCTCCATTACTTTTTGCTCATTCCTTCTTTGACCCATTGCATTTTATGTTTAATTTACCCATCACCATGCTGTACCTGTCGGTCAAGTGAGCAATTTTGTTTTGTTAGAACACATTGTACTGAAAGCCACTTAGGCGTTGAATGCAGAGAAAACAGTTCTACCTCAGTTTTGCTGAAGTAGACTTCGATAGTTTTCTTTGATGTTTTTGTATTTTCATGTCATAAGTGGAAATACTTTTTTTTTCTTTTTCATTTGCCTTGGAGCCAAAGTTTCTGTTCCAGATGGTAAGAAAAGTGTACCTGCCTGCCAGCTGACCTAAAAGAAAGCTATGGCGTGGAACTCTGCTTCAAACTGTTTTTTTCTTTAAGTTTTTGTTGAGTATCATCAGCTTACTTGTCTGGCAAGTGCAGAAGCCTGAGGCTGGCCTGAACTCTGCCAAACAAATTATCCAAGTATATTGAATCATTAAATGTGTGCCCCTCCCTCTTTGCTGCGCCCATGTTGTCACTTAACCCCTAGGAGTTATTTATTATCTTTTTGTTAATGTCAAGCTCATTTGGGGTAATGTGATGACTTTTTAGGTTTACATGACCCTCTTTTCCTTCCCTTATCCCCAGATATGTATATGTACATATATAAGATATGTATATATTTTACCCTTATAATATATATATACACATATATGTATCTATATTCCTTTATTTGTCTGCTAAAACTGGCCATAAAAGAGGGAGCTGCCTTTGATCTGTAGTTTAAGAAAATGCCAGGGAGTGTCATAAATGGAAGCTTTTGTATTATGAATGTGGACTTTTTGACTAAAACGAACTTGAATGAATTTGCTTGTAGGAAGGAGAAACCAGTTCTCTAGACTCCACATGTTCACTCTGCAAGGCCAGCTTTGGTCAAGCTGCCACCAGGGCCTGAGGAGCTGACTCTGTCCTACCTAGTTCCACTAGAGGACCCTTTTGGTAATTTCCCATTAAAAAATATCCTCAAAAAGTTGTACTGCAAGGTGGGTGGCAGGAGCTTGTACAGTTCAGCTGCCAACACTTCGGAACAGATTTAAAAGGGAATGTTTTAATAAAAGTTACAAAAAAAGTAAGTTTCAGTTAAGCCTGGGGATGGGATGTAGCTCATTTGGTAGAGTACTTGTATAGCATGCATGAGGTCCTGAGTTTAATAAGCCCAGCATATCAGAAAAATAGCATTTAGGAGGTAGGAGCAGGAGATCAAGACCAGCTGTGGCTTTCTCAAAAATAAAGCAAAACAAAATATGGTGTTCAAAGCCAGAAAATGTTTGAATAACAAAGTAAACAACATAGTACTTAATCACAACCCAAAGTATTAAAGGAACCAGAAGCTAGGGAGATGGCTCAGTGGGTAAAGTGTTTTCTGGGTGAGCATTAAGACCTGAGTTCAGCATGTTCCTAGTCATTCTGACTGCTTTTCCGTTTACCACATTGAGATATTACTAGAATGTTAGTAAGGCATTTGTGTTGAGTTTTCAAGACAGGGATTCTCTGTGTAACATTCAGTTCTGCCTGTCCTGGAATTTGCTTTGTAGACCATACTGTCTTCAAACTCACTGAAATTGTCCTTCCTCTGCCTCCCAAATGCTGGGATTAAAGGCATGCACCCCCCATCAGTGGCAGTCATTGATATTGAGTAAGATAGGAATTTGATATTTTACCAGAATGCTGAGAATGAATTCAGAGAGGTTAGTCTTATCCTCACAATTCTGTGACTGCTGATCTGAGTGTGAGTAATTATTTTGTTCTGCAACAAAATAATTCCTATTTTGGGACAATTGGTTTGACAGAGTCTGGATGACTATCTCTGTACTAGTTTCTTTGACATGTGAGTGTCCTTGAGATTTTCTGTTTGTATATCAGTTACTCCTGCCATTGTAAGACTTGCCGTTGAATTTTTGCATATCTCCTTATATACAACAAGTAGATTGATTTGCTCCTGCAATTGTAAAAAAAAAACTCTAAATATTCAAGTTATGGTAAATTTTAAAACTGATATAACATGATGTTAAACATTCTAATTCATTGGCATAATTTAGCTAACACTGAAATAGATGCAAGATGATTGTTGATAAAGTATTATGTTTTACTTCAAACCAGAACATACTTTTATTGTACTTCAATTTTGGTTTATTTAGTAAAAATACCTAGATAAAATGTATGTGTTAAAGTTTTTCTTTTATGTTCACATTTGGGTAGGTTAGAAACAAGGGGCTATTATTTCAAAAAAATAAAAGTAGAATTTGTGTAGTATAGAGCATAATTTTATTGAATTAATGTGCCTGTCCTTTCGATGAGTACTTTCTGTGTACCATAATCACTATGGAATTTTTTTTCTTTTTTCTTTTATATGGTAGTCATAGTTAAATGTTTGTCAGAGAAGCTTATGTTAACCTGCATAACTGAAAATTTCTTTGTCATGATGGATTCCGGAAAAACATCACTTTGTTATCTAGGATAGAATATTCTTTTACATTGATCTACATGTAATAGAATAATGGAACATATTAATTTAATCTTACAGAGATTGCATTTCAAAATCATTAAATTACTAAGATGATTTTCATTGCTTGTCCAGGAATTTCTAGACTTGTTTTAATGACAAGTTGAAAAGGATTTAATAGATGAGAGGGTACCATTTTTAGAGTGTCCTATGTGATGCATTTCACATGGCTTGACCCCATTAAAAAGGTATTAGGTATGATTTGTGGATGAATCAGATGCAAAAGAATATTTTTGCCTTCATGATAGTAGAGATTTCTATGAACATAAATCACCCCCATGAGTTTTTTAGCATTTTAAAAAGTATTCTTATAGAGCCCACCCCCCACAAGCACAATGTACTAGTGTGTCATTGTGTACCTAAAAGATCCAACAGGGTAGAAATTTAATGGGCAATTTCTGTTCAACTTTTATGATTTTTGATTGTGTTTTATGTATAAATGCAGAGTTCTTTGTATCACAAAAATCCCCATGTATAAAAATAGGATTGGACAGAAAAATCAGCGTGAATCAATGAAATATAACACCAAGTAATTTTTAGTTATTTTGTCCATATTAGTCCCCAAATACCATTTTTAATCCAAAGCCATGTGGCATTCTATATTTGTATATATCAAATTATTTTTCATTAATATTTGTATCACATGTTTATAAATAACATTTATATGGGTTTTGATATGTTATAAATAAAATGTATAATTTCTGTTTTTTTTAAAAAAAAGACCTGAGTTCAGGTTCCCAGTGCCCACAGAAAAGTTGGGTCTGGTAACATATGCATGTAATACTATCACTGGAGAAGGCAGAAATAGGCAAATTCCTGGAGCTTGCTGGCCAGTTGTTCTAGCTATAATACTGTGCTCAGGGTTCAGTGAAAGGCTCTGCCTCTAAAAATAAGGTGGATCCCAGTACTGAGGAAGCAGAGACAAGCAGATCTCTGTGTTTGAGGCCAGCCTGGTCTACATAGGGGATTCCAGGTCAACTAGGGTTACACGGTGAGTCACTCAAAATATATAAAACAAGTTGGAAACAAACCCAGCATCCACTTCTAGCATCGACACGTGAATGCATTAACATGTGTATCTCAGACATATGAACACACATGCATATCACACACACATACACACACACACTGGGAAGGGGTAGGAAGCAGTATTTTCTAACAGATCTATACATGATTCTGGTATTCAGAAGAAGAGGAAAATACTATTCTAGTTCTCAAATTGAAATATTCCTCAGAATCATCTAAATGGCTTATTAACATACAGATTATTGGGCTGGGGATGTAGTTCAACTGGGAGAACACCAGCCTATCATGGAGCAGAACAAGGGTTCGATTCCCAACACCAGATTAAAAGGGAAAAGCTTGCTGAACCCCACTCCAAGAATTTATTACTCAATAGGTTTGGAACAAAGCCTGAGAATTTGCATCTCTTACAAGTTTTTAAGTGATTCTGATTTTGCCAGTGCATTTACTTGTGTGTGTGGGTGTATCTTAGTGTGGAGGTATGTACATATGTATTTAAATGCCTGTGAAGAGGCCAGAAGTTGATGTTGAGCATCTTCCTCAATCACTCTCTACCTTATTTTCTGAAGACAGAATCTGCAATTCATTGATTCAGTTAGACTGTTTGGCCAGAAAATCCCCAGGGTCCAGTTGTCTTTCCCTCCCAGTTGTGGGATTACAGTTCTGTACAGTTGAGCTGTTTTTTTTCTTAAATTTCATTTTAGAAGACTGAATTTAAATCCTCACAAGTGCATGACAAGCACTTTACTGTGCTACCCTTTTAACTGCAACAATTGGTTCCTATAGTAGAATCTTGTGTTCTAGGCAGACAAAAAGTGACCACCATACAAAAACAAAAAACCCTCAAATATGCAGAGGAGCCTGAGAATAAAGCTTTTGGGGCCAACTATTCCAAAGAAGGTAAATTTATAAGAAAAACTTTGGGCTGAGGGTTTAAAAAGGCACTTTGACTTTTGGATTCTGAACTTGCTATCTGTATGTCACTAAACAGTTTGCAGCAGATAATACCTTTCAACTTAGTTGTAAATTCTCATTTTTTTTACAATGGGAGGGAGAAAAAGGACTGTGCTGTATCCACAGCTGTTCACTGGACAAAGAGCACCAGCATCACACAAGAGCTTTTGACCCGAGTGGAGGGGACCAACACCTAAGATGTCTGCTTCAATGAACTGACAGAGCATGAAACACTCTCACAAACATCTGTTTATATATCCAGGGCAAAGGCTACATTCAGCCTTGAAAAGAGAAGCCTCTCCTTGAAGTGAATGAAGGTAAAGGCAAAGACTCATGGCTGCACAACATGCTGAGAATAAAGGACTGTTGAGAACTCAGACAAAACATTGATACCACTTTCTTAAAGCTCAGTAAACACTGTGAGAGGAGGAGGAATCTAAGAGCTGGAGGATGGGGGAGGGGAGCTGCAAAATACCATTCTCTAAGTGGGATACATACATGAGAACCACAAACTCACAGTAGCTGAGCATCTGGCACAGGGTCCACAAAACTTGGACCCTCCTAATGGTCAGCTATGAAGGTAGAAGGGACACGCTGCTGATCTCTTGGCAAACAATAGAGTCTGGGAGGAGGGGAGAAGCATGCTATCAAATTGTGTACCAACTTGGAGTCCAGAAGGCTCTGATGGATGGTTGGCTCTAAACTCAGGATTACACAGACAGTCCTGATTAAACTTTTCAGGAGACACAAAACAGCAAAACAAAATAAATAATAAATAGGGAAAAGAGATTTATAGAGGGGTGCTGGTAAGACCCAGAGGAAAATGGGAGAATGTGGGAGTGGGAAGAGGGACCAAAAATAGAATGTACATGTATGAGGTATGAAAGTGTAAACCAGCCCTAAACCTACTGGCAACTTCAAGGCTGGCTACCATTATTGCTGTAATAAGCCTCCTGGGAATTATGATACACTACTTAAGTTTGCAAACCACCACAGTGAATGACCTACAAAATCCCTGTAAACTCTCAAGTTGTATCATTTAACTGGTAATGATACAGTCTTGATATTAAAATATAAAGAAAATCCAAGCAACTCAAAAACGTATTTTAAGAGTTCTTAAACACAAGGAGGAAAAGCTGAAAACCTCTTTTTCCTTATATCTTCCACATGATCCTAATCTGTACTACTTGGGCTAATTTTGACTAAGGAGATTTTATTCTGTGTGTGTGATGTGCATACATGTCTGTGTATGGGTACAAGTGTAAATGAGTGTACTTGTGAGTGCATGTATGAAGGCACTCACACGTGTCTTCCTTGAGTGCTCTCTACTTCCTCTACTGAGTCAGGCTTTCTTGCTGAACTCACTGGGTCCAGCTAGTCTAGTGAGCCAACTTGCTCCACAGATCCCATCTCCCATCTTGGCTTCCCAAGTGTTAGGATTACCGGCAGCTGCTAAGCTGATAAAACTTGTATGGCTTTCACCTGGGCTCTGGAGATCTGCTATGGTCCTTAAGCTTTCATGCCAAGCACTTTATCCACTGGTCCATTTCCTCAGCCCATGAAAAGAAAACTCTTGGATACAGAGGCACATTGAAAAGCAAAGACAAACTTCAAGTTACTGTGAACTATTATTCCCTTCCTCCAACCTGGGAAGTTGAATCAGTCTAGGACTTAAAACAACATATGGAGGAAAACAACTGGGAATTTGTTTCTATATAAAAGCAGTAGATATCGTACTTCAGTACACATGGGGCTCAAGGTCTGGGGAAGTAGCTCAGTTGCTAGAGTGCTTGCCTAGCATGCACGAAGTTCTGGGTTCCATTCCTATCCCTGCATAAAACAGGTGTGTTGGTGCATGACGGTAATCCGCATCCTCAGGAGGTGAGGTGGAGGCAGGAAGATCGGAAGCTCAAGGGCAATGTTCATTCCGTCAAACCCAGTCTTGAATAGTGAGAGAAAAAGGTGAGAGAGGACAGATGCCAAGATACCACCAGAACTCCTCAAGCAATAATAAGAAAAGTAATCATTTTATATTAGTGTCAACAACATGCAGAATTATTTTTGAAATAAGTAACAATAATGGTTATGGTTTTTATTGCAAATAAATATAATGCTTGACATTAGGAAGTATTTTTAAAGATATGATTACATACATATGAGTATATATATATATATGTATATATATATATATATATATATACATATAATGCATATACACAGATGTAACAGACATACATGAATTCAGTCACCCAGATTTTGCTTTTATAGCATTAGAGGAGCTGTTTTCAACCTGTAGGTCTCAACCCTTTCACAGTGGTCACCTGAGACCATCAAAAAAACACAGATTTACATCACAGCTCCTAACAATAGCAAAATCACAGTTATGAAGTAGCAAAAAAATAATTTTATAGTTAGGGGTCACCACAACATGAGGAACTGCATTAAAGGGTCGAAGTATTAGGAAGGTTAAGAACTACTGCTTTAGAGGGTAGAATGATTGCAAAAATAAAGGCAAGGCTAAAACAAATAACTGGCTGGGATGACAGGGCTGAAATAGGTGTGACTATGTGGGGATTAATTGTTCTGTTTTTATCTACTTGAAGTTTTTTTTTTTAATTTTTTAAAAGATTTTATTATACTGTGATCTGCCTGCATGTGCGCTTGCTGCCAGAAGAGGACATCAGATCTCATTACAGATGCTTGTGAGCCATGACATGGTTGCTGGGAATTGAACTCAGGACCTCTGGGAGACCAGCCAGTGCTTTTAATCTCTAAGCCATCTCTAAGCCATCTTTCCAGTTCAACTTGAAGCTTTTTTTTATAGTAAAAAGTTGAGATCACATAAACCCAGTCATCTGATAATTTTGAGATAAAAGAATATATAGTGATTATAACATCCTAGTGAATGTCATGCTAAAAACATCACTACTCTTTATAAAGTGAGTGACATTGGACCTAAATCTAGTAAGTGGCAGCCTATAACCAAGAAACCCAGATAATACAACATTCCACTTACCATGAGATGCAAATTAATAGAAGAGGGTAGAATATTGTCAGGATCAAGAAGCAGTGACTCTATTAGAATC